TTCCTCTTCCTCCTCCTCCTTCTGCTCTCCTTTCTCCTCCTCCCCTTCCTCCTCCTCTTCTTCCTCCTCCTCTTTCTTCTCCTCCTCTTTCTCCTCTCCTTTCTCTTTCTCCTTCTTTCCTATTTCTCTTCTCCTTTTTTCTCCCCTTCCTCTTCCTCCTCCTCCTCTCCTCCTCCTCCTCCTCCTCTTTATTCTCCTCCTGTGTCTTTCCTCCTCTTCCTCTTCCTCCTCCTCCTTTCTCCTTTCCTCTTCCTTCTCCTCTTCCTCCTTCTCCTCTTCCTCCTCTCCTTTCTCCTCCTCCTCCTCTTCCTCTTTCCCTTCCTCTTTCTTTTTCTCTTTCTCCTCCTCTTCCTCCTCCTCTTCCTCTCCTTCTCTTCCTCCTCCTCTCTCCTTTCTCTCCTTCTCCTCTCTTTCTCTTCTCCCTTTTTTCGCCTCTTCCTCCTCCTCCTCCTCCTTCTCCTTTGCCTTGTCCTCCTCTTTCTCCTCTCCTCTCCTCTCCTTCTCCTCCCCCTCCCCCACCCCCGCGGGTAGACCAGCAGTCCCAGCACCTCCAATCCCCCATCTTTCCCACAGGAGAGCCAAGCTAATTCTTCTCCCTGCTCTACTCAGGGGTCTTCCATGGTGGGGGTGGGGGACCCCACCTCTTCCCAGAGTCACCTTCATGCAGAAAAACACATCTGGCTGGTCCGGTGCCAACTGGCAGCAGCACCTCCTCGCCGCCCACCCTTGCCTGGCCATCCAGGGCCTCTCCCCACCACTTCCCAGCCCTCTGGGGCTATCACTTCCCCCCGCGGAGCGTTCAGTCTCCAGCTTTGCTCTCCGATCATCTGCTGGGCTCCCCCAGACACCCAGTGGGCAGCGAGGTCAGCAACCTGCCTCTCCCGGAAGCCGGTCCCAAGCTCAGTGCCAGGCAGGCATCTGCTTGCCCTGGCCCTCCCTGCCCTGGACTCCCCGCGTGCCCCTGGACTCACCCTTGTCCACCCTTCAGAACTGTGCAGGACTCAGCCCTGACCCAAGTGTCCCCAGAGATGGTGGGGGTGCCGAGATGAGGGGCTTCCGGTCACTCCCCCGCCTCCCCCTCCCTCTCCGCCTGCCTGCTCTGCTATACAGACAGGTCCTCTGGGACGGAGGGGGCGCCCCAGACCCTCGCAGGCCACCCCCTCTTTGTGCAGGAGGCCCGGCTGGCCACCTGTTGTTAATCTAGCCTTGGTAATCCATTCTGTACTGTCAGCAGTTCAAAAGGGCACTGTTAGTATTTTTTGCCGACTTCAATTAACGTGAGATTTCAGAGGCCCCTCTGATCACATTTCATCTGTCACAGTCGGGAACAAAACAGACAGGGCCGGGTTGAGAGGAGGAAGGAGAAGGAGTTTATTGCCAACACAACCAAACAGATCGGGCGTCCGGCCTCGGGTGCTCTGGGAGCTGCCTGGGGCTTCCGCCTCTGTCTGGCCCCTCGGTCTGGGCCCCCAGGGCCCCCGAACCCCTCTCCCTCCCCCCAAAGATGTACGTGCAATAACTTACTTTGAAAAGGCAAGAACGTTTCTTTTTAATATTTTGCTATAATGTCGTTACATGGTGGTATAGGCAGTAAAACTTTATGGAACCAACCTCATTTTTTTTTTCTGAAAAATTTTTTTTAATATATATATTTTTAATATTCCACCCCAGGCCATTAAGCTAAAGGAAGAGTTTGCATCGATACAGGACTAAACTATCTTACAAGGACAAGTTAGTATTGGTTGAGGTTCATGTTCTGTCCACCCCGCCCCCTCCCCCCCACCCCACTCAGCCCTCCACTGCCCGCTCAAAACAGGCCATCAGACGTGGGAAACTGTCCTTCAAAATCAGTAGTATAAAGGCCTAGCTGTATGCGTGTACGTGGAGGGGGAAGCCGCGGGGAAGGGGGTCACCATCCAGTCAGGGGACTTCTTGGGTACCCCACTCTCTCCCGTCCTTCTGGAGAGGGGGGTGGTGGGACTCTGGCCAGGAAGGCTTCTCCATCTTCCTGTGCATGCAGTACGAATGAGGGGCAGCCTCTCCCCCAAAGACCTTGACCCTCAGCCACCCAGAGCCCCTTGAAGACCCATTTCCTCCCCCCCCCCAAAAAAAACCATCTATCCCGGAGGAAGAGTCTGCACCCCAGCAGAAAGCTCCAAAGTCTTCATAGAAAAGTTCCTCTTGTCTATGGGGCTGAAAGGAAGGGCAGCTGGGGACCGGGGTGGCCTCCCACTCCTTGCAGTGTCTTTAAACTAACCTGGCCACCGGCCTTCCTCACACCGGAAGCCTGGGCATGACAGCTGGGAATCAAGTATCACGAAGGGAGTCAAGCTTACAAAGCCCACAGCCCACAGAGGCCATGGAGACTTGGGGACGGGCCTCTCCTGGAGCGTCCCCCACAACCCCTCAGGTCTCCCCTCTCAGCCCCAAGGGTGGTGACAGCACCCCCGAGCTCGGGACTCTCTGTGAGACCTGCCCTGCTTCCCTCCTGACCCCTCCCTCCCGTCTAGCTGCCTCTGGGATGACCCTGGCCTGAGAGCCCACGCACACGGCACCTCCTTTATAGCTTATTTGCCCCGTGGGTCCCCACGGGGATGCTGCCGGCCTTCTTTGGGAGGCTCAAGAGCTGCTCACCCCGTGAGTGTGTCACTGCTCTGGGGTGCCCCCATCCTAGAGGGCAGGAAGCTGAGCTTGGCTGGCCACCTGGGGCGTCTCTGTGGAGCCCAGAGGGGTGCCGGCTAAGATACCTGTGTCCCCCTTGCCGCACTTTGCAGGGCTTAGATGTGGCTTAGGGACTTCCAGTCTCTGTGGGGAAGGGACTGGCCGAACTAGGAGACTCTTAAGTTTGTTTCAGGGCTTGGGAGGTCATCAGAGAGCTAGGCAGGCCCTAGAGGGCTGGGCTGGGATTCGAACAGGAGGGGATGACAGCACCTCATCCACATTTTAACCTTGGCTGGGCTGGGCGGCGGGCAGGTGACCAGAACCAACAGCCATCTTCAGTGAGAGGCTTTTCCTTTTAAAGTTTTGGGGTTCAAGTCTGCTCGACAGAAGTCTAGGTCAGCCCAAAAGCAACCCGCCAGAGGAACTGAGCACCAAAGTCCGCTCCGGAATGTTTTGCCCGGAGTCCTCACTCCACCCTGCCTCCTTGCCAGGCCTTCCCAGTTCTCTTTGCTGCGGGGCAGGGGGCTGGGGATGAGCAAACAGATGCTGTCAGGGCCCCTTGGAACCTCCAGGAGCTCATTTTAGCCTCAGGCATCCTTCTTCCTTGCTCTTCCCAAATTTGGGGGTGGGGGGAAGGGCGGGTCAGCACGATTTCAGTGAACCTCAACACTCAGAAAGGCTTCCTTAAGAAGCATTCCAAGATCCTCAACTCTACGAAGCCCTTATAAGCCAAGCCTTCCAGAACATTCCGTTCAGCATCCAAGCCCATTTCGACTTCCCTGAGGCCAGTTTGAGGGCTACGGTTCAAGAAGTCCAAGGGAAACCAGAGCAGTGCCCACCCCACCCCACCCCCGCCCCCACCATCCCCCTCCCCGGCCCTTGTTTCCGGAGCAGACGAGGACATGGGGGGGGGGGGGAGGTGAGTGGGATCTCCAGAGACCGTGAGTCACTCAGGGGCAGAGGCCCTCACTCCCCTACTTCAGTCCAGGAGGCTGCCCTGTGTCCAGGCCCTCGGAGTGTGACCCTGACTCTCCTCACCCACAGGGTCAAGGCCATGGGGGCAGGTCCTGAGTTCGGTCCCTCCATCAGTGTGGGTCAAAGGCAAGGTCGAGGACACTGAAGGAGACTGATCTCTCTCTCACCAGAGGCTGGTTCTTTCTGGAAAGGGCGGTGGGGCCATGGGTGGGGCCTCTCAGGTAGCCCAGGGCATGACCCAAGGTCAAAACTGAGCTGCCTTTGTTCCACAGACATCTGCTCAGGTCTCAAGGTGCCCCGGAAGGACAATCCTGTATACCTTTCCCAGGAGGGATCCCCTGAAAGGCCGTCTGCAGAACACTGCTTAGGTGACAGGGAGCCTGGTCCCCAAACCCCAGCAGTAGGTGAATCAGACAGACATGAACCTTTTGGCCCCACTACCCGCCCCCTCCCCAAAAAGGAGACACCCGCCCCCCAACCTTTCTTCTTGCAGACAAGGAAACCTATCCCCACCTCAAGTGACCCCGAGCAGTGAGTCAGCGGATGGTCTGGCTGGGGAAGAGAGTCCGGATTCAGAGCATCCCACCTGCAGGCTCCCACTAGGGCTGTGGGAGGGCCTGGGACAGCTCCTGACTGGGCGTGAATGCCCGGTCCACAGCGAATCCTGTCTCTGCTCCTGCTCCTCTGCCCTTGAGCCAGACACGAAGTTGCTTCCTATCAGGAAGCCCCAGGCTTTGCCTACGGGGGGAAGAGCTGGTGTATGCCCGAAACCCTGCCCCACTAGCCCTTCCTCTCTCTAGAAGCACAATTTTCTCCTTCAAGGAGGCGGTTACCATTGGGGGGGGGGGAGGGGGCCATGTTACCCCCCACACACATCCTCCACCTTCTGTGTCCACCCAGACCCAGAGTCCTGGGGTTGGGCCAGAAGTGGGAACCGAGGGGGCGCCAGGGTTGGGGTGGACCATATAGACAGCAGGATTCTTCAGCTGCAGTTTCTCGGCACAGGAAACAGCCAAGGCGGCGGGTGCGCTGGGTCCCAATGGGCCGCTTAACCTTGACTCATCAGGGAGGGGTTCAGCGGTTCAGGAGCGGAGGTGGGGGGGGGGAGGGAGAAAGGGGCTTCAGCTTAAAGTGGAGGCCAAGCTGCCAACTGGGTTCCCTGGCTCTCTGCGAGGAGGTGGGGTGGAGGGTTGGGGAGGGGGCTGTCCCCTAGTCCGGCTGAAAGTGCTGAGGGTCAAGCCCTCCCCCGGGGACAGACGGCTCCCGCCAGGTACCCCAGAGGACAGCCGAGTGGGAGGCGGGGCCCGGGAAGCGAGGGCGGGGCCGTCACTCCGGGGGGCGTGGCCTGGGCGTGGTCGGCGCCCCGGGGGCGGGGCCTGCGCGGGGATGGGGGAGTGGGCGGGGCCTGCGCGGCGCGGGGGGCGGGGCCTGTCAGGTGGCCCAGGAGATAGCCGCGCTGTGCTCCTTGGCCTTCATGCGCAGGGCAGCGATGCTCGACGTCTTGCGGTCCGGCTCGCCGTTGAGGTCGTAGCCGTTGAGGCCCGGGCTGAGCCCCGCGGCTCCGAACAGGCTGCCCATGTGCGTCTGGCCCACGTGACCGCCGGCCCCAGACACGCTCAGGAAGTCGGTGACCCCGCTGGCCCCAGAGCCGGGCGGGTGGGCGTGGGGGGACATGCAGGCGGGCACTGGGTCGCAGGGCACCACGCAGGCTGGCACCGGCGACGCCGCCCCGTTGTTGCCGATCCAGGACGGGTTCTGAATCTGGGGAGAGGGCAGGGAGAAAGGTCACTGGGGAGTGGACACCGGCAGACAGGCTTACCTACACCCCATTCCCCCCCACCCCCCCATGTAAGCCTGTCCCTTACAGCTCATCCTTACCACTGCACCGTTGCAGGGTTTTGTATTTTTTGAGGGGGGTGGGGGGAGCAGGGGGATATTTGCACAGAACTTAGGGGCCTCACATCTGCGAGACTGACTCACCTGTGTAGACAAGAGGCGGGCTGGGGTTCAGGCCCCCGCTCTGCCCTTCCAGAGTCAGCCAGGGGCCGAGAGAAATTCTCATTTGAAGCCCCGAGCTCCAGGCCCCATTGAGGGGCCAATGGGGAGAGCAGTGCCAATGGGCCTAACTGGGCAGAGATGCTCTCATTCACACGCTGACCCATACTCTCTTCCTCTAGGCAGGGCACAAGGGTCAGGCCTGGGTGCCCTTGTCCCGCCACCCCGGGCTGGCAGCTGTACACTGGGGATGAACTGGACATGCAGGTGGGGTGCTGGCCACCTGGATACCAGGCTTGCAGATTCTGACTGCTGGAGGGGGAGGGGAGGAATGGATATGTGTGGGGGGGAGGGTGGGTGCATGGGGTGGGCCAGGGGGCTCAATCAATTTTCCCAGAGCCAAGGCTGGCGAGAGATGAAAGTTCTAGGAGCTGGTGCCCCGGGTCTCAAAGCTCTCACTCAAGATAGAAGTGAGCGCCTGTGAGCACAGGATGGGGCTGGGCTGGACCCCCAGGCTGGAATGAGGGTGGGAGTATTTCGGACCACAGGCTGGGTCAGGGGGGCGGGGAGGTGGGACATCTAATCTCCCCTCTGCGCCACGGAATCCTCCAGCCTCCACTCCTGAGCCCTCTTGTCCTCTGAGAGTGCTCAGGTGAGTCTGAGGTCTGACTCCCCGTGGCCCTTAACTAACTCTGCTGGCTCCCTGCCCCCCTGCTGCAATGCACCCTGGGAAGGCACTTAAAAGCAGAGTCAGGAGCGACAGGACAGCGGGGAGGGCATCTGCCCTGCATGTGGCCGACCCGGGTTCGACCCCCGGCATCCCACATGGACCCCTGAGTCCCACTAAAATAAGAAAAGCAGAATGAGGGGAGAACTGCACCCCCAATCCATGCTCGCAGGTGGTCCTTGCCATATTCCTCTACTCCCCAGCTGCTCCACCACCCCAGCCCCTCTCTCAGGAGCTCTGGGTGCGTGAGAGGCAGGAGACAGGGATGAGCTGGTCCCCCTCCAGTCCCAGAGCTCAGAGGGGTCAAGACACGGAGTGGAGCTGGAGACTGGAGGCCAGCTTGGGGACAGGGGAGCTGCCGGTCAGGGTACCAGAGGGAGGGCCACGTCAAGGACCCAATACCCCTCTCTCAAGTGTCCCAGGGAATGACATCACTCAGCTCTTCCTGGGCCAAGTCTCTGAGCCTCAAACACCTCTGGAGTGGGGAACGAGCTGGCAGGGGGTTGTAGGAAGATGGACGCCCAGGAGAGCAGGCAGGGTGCAGGGCAGACACCGCAACCTACAAGCCACTGGGCTCTCATGGTGAGGAACTCAGACCTCACAGCAACGTTTGGGGAGGGGGGAGTGGAGAGAGGAGACAGTGAAGAGAGGAGAGAAGAGAGAGGAGAGGAGAGGAGAGGAGAGGAGAGGAGAGGAGAGGAGAGGAGAGGAGAGGGAAGAGGAGATGAGAGAGAGGAGAGAGGAGAGGAGGAGAACGGGGAGGAGAGAGAGGAGAGAGAGAGAGGAGAGGGGGGAAGAGTAAGGAGAGGAGAGGAGGGGAGGGGAGGGGAGGGGAGGAGAAAAAAGGGGAGGAGAGAGAAAAGAGAATGCAAAAGCAAGGATCTGGTTCTGTCCCTTTGTAGGAAAAGAGCCTGAGGCCCGAGGGAGGTTGAGGCAGATCTCAGCGATGGGTGGTCTAACCTGCGGGATTCAGGGCTTCCTCTTCTCCCGCCCTGGCACAAGCCTTCCCAAGCCTCAGGAAGGCGGGGACTCCTGCCCAGGGGCCACTGACCTCTCTCCTGTATCGCCACCGGAAATGGGGCCAAGGAACAGAGGAAGGGGCTACTCTCCCTCCCCTAAAGTCCACCACGCCTGGACACTCACACAGCTCTTAGACATGGCTGCGACTGAAGCAGATGCACCCCTGACCCCCGCACTGGAGCCCCGCGCCCTGTCCCCAGCGGGGGGGTGGCCAGGGCAGGACCTTACCTGGGCATAGTTCTCAGCTCGGGTGAGGAGAGGAAGCTCGTAGGCCGTGGAGAAGTGGGTCCGGACCTGCTGCATCTGCCCGAAACGCTCCCGCTTCCGCCACTTCGCCCTCCGGTTCTGGAACCAAACCTGCAGGACAGGGCAGCGGTCAGCCCCCACCAGGAGGCCCGGCCTCTGAGCCCCTGCTCAGGCTGCACTCTGGAGTGTCTGTCTCGGTCTCCATCCTCGGGAGTCATGGCATAGCGGGGAGAGCATGTGCTTTGCACACAGCCGAACCGAGTTGGATCCCCGGCATCCCATATGGTCCCCCTGAGCACCGGCAGGAGTAACCCCTGAGTATCACCAGGGGTGACTCAAACACCATTCCCGCCCCTCCCCCCGCCCCTGAAATACAAGATCATTCCATTCTCAGCGCTGACTTGGGAAGGCGGTTCACTCCCAGACACCCGTGGGTGTGGTCTCAGGCCTGTCTGTTCATTTCCTGGAGGGCTTGGAGAGGGTGTTGGGGTCCACCCAGCAATGCTCAGAGGCTACTCCTGGCTTTGTGCTCACTAGCGGCCCCTGGTGGGAGCTAGGGAGACCTTAGGTGATGCGGGGATTGAACCAGGGTCTAGGGGATGTTCTGGGCTAGTGCTTTAGTCCCGTACTAGCTCATGAACACAAGTTCATTTTGCAAAGTTTCAGAAGCTAAGGCAGGCACTGTGCTCTCTCTCTCTCTCTCTCTCTCTCTCTCTCTCTCTCTCTCTCTCTCTCTCACACACACACACACACGTGCGCGCGCGCGCACGCATGCACTACACACTCTTCTGGTCACCAAACAACCCCAACACGGGGGCACCTAACCCGCTGGGCCCCCCATGCTGCCGTGAACTGTCTCCAAGGTCCTCTCAAGTAGCTCCACTTTCCTCCGATAATTCTGACTCCCTGGGGTTGGCAGGCGTGGGGACCCGACACAGAGATGGGCCGAGAGCCCAGCCTCCACCCTGCCGCCACCACGTCCTCCCTGCCACCCTGCAGTGGGCAACAGTCTCCCAGCTGGGCAGCACCTGTGGGTGGGCGGGGGGGGGGCTGGGGGAATAAAGGACCAGCTTCCTGGAAGAGGGCGCTGGAAGGGTGTAGAAGGAAGCAGGGTCACCTTTGCAGTGCAAAGACTGCCTGGCCCTGGTGTGTCTGAGCGTGGGTGGGCAGGTGCCGGCTGACGTGGGCATGGTTCCTGAGCTCTGGTGGTGTTGGCGGGGGCTGCTGACTCCCTTCTCTTGGCAGTAGCGTTTCCAACAGGCAGAGAACTCCCCACCCCCACCCCCACCCTCCAAGATTCCCTCGGGGCCTATTAGCCCTGCTTGGGATTGGGAAGCAGGGGTGAGTGGGGGAGCTGGGAGGATGGAGGAGGGAGGGAGGCCCCCGTGTCCAGGCAAGGCAGCCCCCACAGCCAGATGCCAGGGTGCCCGCGGGCTCGGTGGATGGAGGGAGACACAAACGGAGCCTGGTACAGGCCCCTCTTGGGCAGGGTCCCCATTGGGCAGGCAGAGACCCTTCCCATCCAACAGAACCAGAGCTGGGGCTGAGTTCCAGAAACATCTCCTGAATCGGTGTTTTCTGGAGTCTGGGCCTGTTCTGGGGCCTCGGTGTCTCCATCTGCAAAATGGGACCAGTGCCTGGGCCTGTTGTTTGGAACAGGGGGATCCAGGGGCGGCGGCAGATGGGCAACGCAGGCAGAGGTTGGTGGGGTGGGGTGGGGTGGGGCGTCCTGTTTGCGTAGAGCTCCTGCCCTTCCTTGCTATTTTGCCAGAGGAATGGAGTTGATTTGTGTGTGTGTGTGTGTGTGTGTGTGTGTGTGTGTGCGTGCGCGCGCGCGCAGCGCGCGTTTGTGGGGGGGGGGGCGGGGAGAAGGGGCACACCCAGACGTACTCTGGGGTTACTCCTGGCTCTGCATCACTCCTGGGCTCCGGGGACCCTATGGGGTGCTGGGGATGGAACCCGAGTGAGCTGCATGCAAGGCAAGCAAGCACCCTACCCACTGCTCTCTCCAGCCAAGAGGTTGGGGTTTAAACAATACAAAACAAAAAGCCAGCGGAAGTGGGGTGAGGGTGGGATGTCGGGCGTCCCCCCACTTTTAAAAAATTAATTAATTTGGGTCACACCCAGCGATGCTCAGGGGTTCCTCATGGCTCTGTACTGAGGAATTACTTCTCGCATTGCTGGGGAGGGGGGGAACCATGTGGGATGCTGGGGATTGAACCTGGGTTGGCCGCGCGCAAGGCAAATCCCTCCCCACTGTTCTATCGCTCAGGCCCTGTGGCCCCTCAATTTCGTGCCTAGTCCCACGTCCACTTCCGAGCGTTCATGCACGCCCAGGTCCAAGTACTTGCACGTCCGTTTCTCCCCGTCTCTCCCCATCTCCCTCTTCTTTCTCACCTTCCTCCTGCCTTCTCCTGAGACCATCACCCTCTCCTGGGCTGGGCCTCTTGGCCCCCTTTCCTTCGGGGGCTCCCAAGGTCCAGGTCCGGGCCCCCCCCACTGCCTGAATGGGACCCCCCCCTTTATCAGTGGCTGGAATGTGGGGGGCTGAGGGCAGGATGAGAGCGTGAAGCAGCGCAGCGTGTTTTCATTTCGTGTTTAATTTCCTGCAGGCTTAGTTCAGTCTTTCCGCAGCTTCCTCCGCCTCCCGGGTTTTCTGGGGGGCACGGGGGGGGGCAGGAATGATGACAAAGGAGCCCACTGGAGGCACCCAGATCGACTGTGGGGGTGGGAAGAGGGGGAGGGAGGCAGGTGTTGGCAGTGGATGCCCAGGGCCAGGAGTGGTGGGGGTACGCACTGTTGGAGGGGTCAGTCGGTCCCGTGCGGAAGGAGCCTGTGCAGGCAGGGTCAGGGGGACCTGGGTTATAGGGGGAGGCGGAGGGGTGGGGTGGGGGCTGCTGAGATAACACAGTTGGTGGGAAGGGAGGGGAGGAGGGCCAGGAGGAGCCATTTATGAGGAGTGCGAGATGAAGATTTGGTGGGGGCGGAAGTGCCCTCCTCCCTCCTCCCTCTTCCTCCTCCTCTTATTCCTCTCTTCCCTTCCCCCTCCCCTTCCTTCCCACCAACACCCTTCCTCCTCTTCCTTCTCCTCCTCTTCCTCTTCCCCCTCTTCCTCCTCCTCTTCTTTTCCCTCTTCCTCCTCCTCTTCCTTCTCCCCTTCCTCCTCCTTTTCCTGCTTCTCCTCCCCTTTCTCCTCTTCCATTCATTTTCTCTCTCCTTCCATCTTTTCTTTCCCTTCTTTCCCTCTTTTCTTCCCCCTCCTCTTCCCTGCATCCTGTTCTCCTTTTAGACATCTTCTACCCCTCCCCTGACCCTTTCCTTCCTCCCCCTCCTCCTCTTCCTCCTCTTTACCCTCCTCCTTTCCCTCCCCCTCTCCCTCCTCCCCCTCCTTTTCCTTTTCCACCCCTCTCCCTCCTCCTCTTCCTCCCTTCCCCTCCCCCTCCCCCCTCCTCCCCTTCTGTGCCAGGCCCAGTGCTCTCCAGATCTCAGGCTTAACCGCAGGCCCCGCTGGGTTCCCACCTCCTCACTGCCACACTGTGAGGTGCATTTCCCACCCTGCTCTGCTCCCGTCCTCACTCCCAGGTCACAGTCCTTCCTGCCGGGCCCCTCCAGATGTGCGGTGCCCCCTCCCAGCCCTCGGGTCTGACAGTTCCAGGCAGAGCCTCCCGGAGGAGGTGAGGTCCCGGCCTCCCTCCTGCACACGCTGCCCCAGGACCCTGCTCGGGGCCACTCCGCATGGGCACTCCCCCCCCCACCCCCCCTGCCACGGGGCCAACCATCTTGGCCCAGGACGTCCTAACCGCAGCGCATCTGGGCCGGGGCGCGGGGGGTGGGTGGGGGGGCTCCACCTCATTGTCTTCAGACACCAGCTGTGGAGATCGGAATCCCAGACAGCAGAGAGAGGCCCCCGCAGCCCCCTGGAGTGGGGCCAAACCCCGGCTTCTTCCCAGGAAACGGCCGTGGTGGGGGGCACGGTCCCTCTCTGCCCCACTGCTAAGGCCTGGTCTCCCAGCAGTGAAGCAGAGCGGGGTGCGGGGGCAAAGTCAGCAGAGGCGGGAGGCGGAGTGGGGGGACGGTTGGGGGGGGGGTCTCAGCACAGCTCCCCACCCCGGGGACACCGCCAGGCTTGGGGCACAACCCAGAGGTCTGACGCACACGAAGATCCCACCCACCGCCTTGTACAAAGGATGCCTGGGGCAGCCTGGCACCCGGCCGGGCCGTGGGCAGAACCCGGCCTCCCAGATTCCCGTCTTCAGTACCGCCATGGAGACACTGTCCACCCCGGGGGCCGTCTGCTGCGTCCCCAGGGGACGGGCCCCAGGTGATTTTCCTGGGCGCTGACATGCTCAGATTTTTCAAGTTTCCCCTTAGAGGCCGGAACAGTGGGACTCTGGAGTCCCCCTCCCTGCTCTGGCAGCTGGGGAGCTGCACACTGAGGCTGGCCCTCTCTGGACCTCTGATCTGCTTGACATTGGGCAGCACCCTCACTGGCCCACATCACGCTCTCTGGTTCTTAGCTGAAGAGAAGTCTCTCACCCGTGGCTCCAATTGGAAGTTGGACTGCGCATGCGTGTATGGGCATATGCGTGCGTGTGCGTGCGTGTGTGCACGCGTGTGTGCACATGTGCTCATGTATCTGTGCTGTGTGTTTATCCGTGTTCGTGTGTGCATGCCTGAACATGTGCCTGCGTGCATCTTGCACACATGTGTATGTGTGCATGTGTACTGTGTATGTGTGTACTTGCGTGTGCATTTGTGTGCATGAATGTACTCATGTGTGTGTGCGTGCGTGTGCATATGCACATGTATGTTGTGCACACATGTGAACATGTGTGCACATACGTGTGCCCACGGGCATGCCCACGGGGGGCGCAGAGAAACTATCCACTGGAGCTGTCGGGCTGTGACTGGGATTGTGAGACCTGCCCCTTCAGTGCCATGACTTGTTCCAGAAGGTTTTTTCGTCCCACCTCCAGTTCAAAGTGACATCAACTCTGGGGTGGCTGCCGGGAGAGATCCCCTGCGCAACATGTTCCTGCACATGCACACACATGTGCCCGCACACAGACCTGGAACAGACTGAACCGGCCCATCCCACACCAGCCGTCCAG